AGATAGCTCGTAGCTCGTACCTGGTAGCTGATAGCTGGTAACTGATAGATTATTTATTTATTTTAGTTAGTTTCAAACATAGATCTTAACATAGATCGTATCAATCAAAATTGTATCGCTGTATCTTTTCTATGATATAAAATAGGAGAATGAAGAAGTATTTTGCTTTCTTTTATCGTCAAACACAATTACCGTTTATTACTAACCTACGTCAATATGCGAAAGCTTGTCTGTTTGTCGTAGATTGAAAAATAAGCAAAAATGAATTGATAAATGAATTTGCATATATTGACAACAAATTGAAATTTGTTATTTTTATTTGTTATTTGTTATTATAAATGAAAATTTTCTCTTCACAAGTACCGTCGTAGCGTAGTGCCGTAGTGCCGTAGTTTCGTAGTACCGTAGTACTGTTGGTACAAAGCTGTGCGTCTCTGGTCGTAGCAATTCAATGGCAATTCTAGAAGTTGCTGTGACGTAGCGGGTCAATATACAGCGATAATAAAACCATTTCATTCATAACGTTTGTTTGGAAATTTCTAGAGGCAATGCAGAAAAACATATTCACACACATTTACATATTTTATATAAATAAGTTCTCTAATGCACTCTAATATTCCCTTTATAATATTTTAAGAGAGTGCTTGTGTTTGTCACGTTACACACACAATTATACTAAGCTAATATTCACTATTGTGCAGCTGGTAAAATGTGTGCATACACTGAACTCTTTAAATTTGTCTTTCTCTTAAACTCTTCATTTATTGGTCGCGTATCTTGAACATTTGGTTCCCGAATATTCTGTAAGTTTCTTGAAAGAGTATCTAGATACTTCTCTGAAATGTAGATTTTTGTATAAAAGGCGGTGAAAATTCGAAGAGCATCAGTTTATACAAAACATTTGAAGTGAAAAGATTGACTGAGAAGAGGAGAAGTCAGAAAGTTTTTGTGCAAAGTTTAAAAAGAAAGAAAACTATTCAAAGCAATATATAAGCAATATATATTAAAACTTAAATTGAATTGAATTGAATTAAAAATATTAAATTGAAAAATTACTATCAAATATCAATAAACAAGAATACATATAAAGAAAGAAAATGTCAGCAATTGGAATTGATTTGGGAACAACATACTCATGTGTCGGTGTATTCCAGCACGGAAAAGTTGAAATCATCGCTAATGACCAGGGCAATCGTACAACACCCAGCTATGTTGCGTTCACAGATTCTGAGCGATTGATTGGTGACGCCGCTAAGAACCAAGTGGCAATGAATCCAAAGAATACAGTATTCGACGCTAAACGATTGATTGGCCGCAAATATGATGACCAGAAAATACAAGAAGATATGAAACATTGGCCATTTAAAGTGGTGAACGACAGTGGTAAACCAAAAATTAACGTCGAATTCAAAGGCGAACAGAAGAGATTTGCACCCGAAGAGATAAGCTCAATGGTGTTAACTAAAATGAAAGAAACAGCTGAAGCATATCTTGGTACAACAGTGAAAGATGCAGTCATCACAGTACCTGCCTATTTTAATGATTCGCAGCGTCAAGCGACAAAAGATGCTGGTGCAATAGCTGGTCTTAATGTGTTACGTATAATAAATGAACCGACAGCTGCTGCATTGGCGTATGGGCTAGACAAGAACTTGAAGGGCGAACGGAACGTTTTAATATTTGATTTAGGTGGCGGTACATTCGATGTTTCGATTTTGACAATTGATGAAGGATCTCTGTTCGAAGTGCGATCTACGGCTGGTGATACACATTTGGGTGGTGAAGATTTCGACAACAGATTGGTGAATTATTTGACTGATGAATTTAAGCGTAAATACAAAAAGGATTTGCGCTCAAATCCAAGAGCACTTCGTCGTCTGCGAACAGCTGCTGAACGTGCCAAACGTACTTTATCCTCTAGTACTGAAGCAACAATCGAAATTGATGCATTATTTGAGGGTATTGATTTCTATACGAAAATAAGTCGAGCACGCTTTGAAGAGCTCTGTGCAGATTTATTCCGCAACACATTGCAACCAGTAGAAAAAGCGTTGACAGATGCAAAAATGGATAAGAATCAAATTCATGATATTGTATTAGTTGGTGGATCTACTCGTATACCGAAAGTACAAAACTTACTTCAATCATTCTTCTGTGGCAAGAGTTTAAATTTGTCAATTAATCCTGATGAAGCTGTCGCTTATGGTGCAGCTATTCAAGCAGCCATACTGAGTGGAGATAAGAGCAGTCAAATACAAGATGTACTACTAGTTGACGTTGCTCCGCTTTCTTTAGGTATTGAAACTGCTGGTGGTGTTATGACAAAGTTAATAGAACGTAATAGTCGCATTCCATGTAAACAAACAAAAACATTCACCACTTATGCTGATAACCAACCTGCAGTCACTATTCAAGTATTTGAAGGTGAACGAGTCATGACAAAAGATAACAATCTTCTTGGGACATTCAATTTAACTGGCATACCACCAGCTCCTCGTGGAGTTCCTAAAATTGACGTCACCTTTGATTTGGATGCAAATGGCATCTTAAATGTTGCAGCAAAAGAGATGAGTACTGGTAATGTAAAGAACATAACCATCAAAAATGATAAGGGTCGTTTGTCGCAAAGTGAAATTGATCGAATGGTAAATGAAGCTGAGAAGTATGCCGAAGAAGATGAAAAAGCGAGACAGCGAATCGCCACACGAAATCAACTTGAAACTTATGTATTTAATGTTAAACAGGCCATAGATGATGCTGCTGATAAATTAGATCAATCGGATAAGAATAATGTGGTTGAGAAATGCAATGAAACCATAAAATGGCTCGATAACAACACCACAGCTGAGAAAGAAGAATATGAATATAGAATGGAGGAATTAACTAAAATTTGTAGTCCGATTATGACAAAGATGCACCAACAGGGCAAGGGCAAACCAGGCACAGAACCAACCAGTTGCGGTCAACAAGCCGGAGGTTTTGGTGGTGGCAACTACAGAGGTCCAACTGTTGAAGAAGTTGACTAAATGCCAAAGATTTGTAAATTGTAAATTTTAAATTGTAAATATTGTAATTTAGTGAAAACTTATTTTTAGATGTAGATGTATATGTTAATTTGATCTATCGATGAAATTGTATTACTTAAAGACTGTGTTCTAGTTTAAATATTTATTTAATAAATAAGTTTGTTAACTAAGTGTAAGTTAACTTTAAGTACAACATTTAGTTTGAAATAAAGTCAAATGTTTTTATAATAAAATGAAATTTATTCGTTTTATTTCTAAAAAGAAGTTAGTGCATGGTGTTTATTCAAAATTATGTTGGTTTGTCATAATACCGCCAACAGTCTCAATGTTCCACAAAAAAATGGTTTTTATGCAAGAAATAAAATTGCTATGAACAACTATAAAAATGAAATACATGTGGATATGAGTTTCATATAGTTATGTATATATTATCAATAAACTCTGTTTTGATATAAGAACGCTCATATGCGGTGTTCATATTCTCATATGTTTAGAAAATATTTATTTTTCTTGAGCTTTCATAAACATTTTTGGTTCTGAAACTGTATGCGTGATTTGTGTAATATTATATATCTTGTATATATTTATGTTGAAGCTATTTGAACCAGAGCATTTCAGCACTTTTACTCTTTCTTAACTCTAGGTATTTTCAAAGCCACTTTTTATGCCTTTACTGGATAAACAATAGTATATCACTTCATCGGACTAAGCAATAATTGACCTCAGATCTGTATACCTTCCTGAGGAGCCTGTAACCACTCTAAGATTTGATAACGCGGTGTTGGTAAGTCTGTCAGTCTTCGCAAATAAAATCAGGGCTCTATCCTCTAATCTTGAGGTCGCTTAGGATGTCATTCTTCCTAATGTACCATGGTAGTTTGAAAAGTTTTCTCAGAGCCTGGCTTTGTGCAATTTCTAGCTGGCGAAAGATCTTTTTTTTGTTTATTTTTTGGAAGGTATGTTTGAGTTTGAGTTGAATTTGCAATTCTATTCTTTTTTGTGGCGTCTACCCAGGAATGCTAAGTGACTTTGAGTGACTGCATTTTGACAAGTTTAAAGCTTATTGCTAGTCATATTAATTGCCTGCCTGTATGACGCAATTATATTATATTTTAATACTTAGATTTTTAATACTTGGTTGCCTGGATTGAAATAGTGGACGCAGTGATCGGAGCGTATTAATACATGTGACTTTTTTTCTCTTTTATGTTTGCGTTTCATGTAAAGCAGTATTTCAATCAAAATAAATATAACAACGTAAAAACAATTTGTATTTGCATTAACAAAATTAATTGTACAATTTGATGTCAAAATTTCTTCAGAAATTTAATAAGTACTTAATAATAATAATAAGTTATATGTGAACGTATTTGTTAAAAAATATTTTAAAATTAATATATCTGAATAAATCCGTAATTACAAGTTATTGTATTATTTGATATTGTATTAATTGGTATTTCCAATCAAAAGTAATAAACTTAAAAGAACTTCATTAATTGGTTTTTGTTCACATTTTAAATACTAAAACGATATTTTATGTTGGTATTAGTATTAATTGAAATATACTGTGAAATTAAACACGTGTGTACACCATAATGCCAAGATATCATATTCCTAATTCAAGTCAATCAGCTACTATTTTGCTTTAATTGTCTCAAACATTTTTGCATAAAACTATTATATGTTAATTGAGGTACTATACACTATGCCTTTGAGTACAAACTTAAAAACAATATACAACATATTATATTAAAATGATATATTAAAATATTCATTCATTTCTACGAAAAAAAAAAATTATATTATTAATATATAAAATTAATTAAAATTCGGGTATTATTAAAATTTACATTTAATATCTATTGAACCCACTGTAGCATTGGAAATGTTTTCACTTTGTTTTGGTCTTATTTTTCGTCGTACGGACATATATAACAGCTGATTTTGACACATTCAACTTGAGTATCGCTGCTTTATGTATGATTTAGAAGTTATGTTTGGAAACAGTCATTTCTCGTTTTATTATAATTAAATTTAGTATATTTTTCCGAATACAGTATACAATGGAAGAGGAACCAAAAAAGGTATTACACAGCGAATTTCATTTTAATTAAGTAAGATCGCATGGATAAAATCATTTAATATTTGTAGGAATTAATAATATTTGGACATGATGTTGCTCAAATGCCTTGTTTCCGTAACAGCTTTTTATATGGAATAAGCGGAGGAATTGGTGTTGGATTGGTCACATTTTTAGCTACTTCTAGAACGCGGTTTTCAACTCATGTAGCCTTTTCTGGCTTTGTTTGTGGAACATTAGGTTATTGGTTTGTGTGCAGGTTATGATGTAATAAATATATGAATTCATACGGTTTTTTATAAAAAATTATTCCTACAGATATCAATGGTCCAAAACACGGTTTGAATATCAAAAATTGCAAACAGCGATGAGAAATAAGGCGATGTACGAAGGTACAGAGGTAGAAAGAGAAATTTTCAAAGAAGCGTAGCATAAATTTTGAATTTTTTTTATGCATAATAAATTTTTAATTATTGTAATACACAACATTATAACTATTTCAAGTAATGTACTAATACAAAATTAATTAATATTATTTAATATTTGCCAAAATATTAAAGTGAAATTCAATGTACAGACTTTGTGTTTAGGTATAATATTTATCCTTAAGGCACTGATTTCTTTAAATTTTAAACAATATTGTGTGTACTAAAAATATAGAAACGTATAATTCAAATTAACACTTCTTTTAATGTCTCAGTTCTCTCCATAGTTTTAATTTGTGAAAAACATATGTATATGTATATACAGATATTCTTATGATCACATTTCATAATCCACATGTATAATTTATAATTCACATTAACACGCAGAACGGCGCAGAATTGTGCCTCTGAGAATTTTCTTCATAATATATTTTGTCCTTTACGAGTTGTCGACGATTACCTCTGAATAACCACAAATTATAAGAGCTTTTTTGTTACGGCATTGGCATTGAAATGTCTGGCTAAGTTATCTCGTCTGAATAAAAAGCGAAAAGCTTTTTAAAACAGATAAAACCTTCTTCAAAAGAAGTAGACGTACCCTTCTAACTCTAAAAGGACATGATATATGAGGTTGGAAAGAAGTGTTACGTATTAGATTTGACGTTTAAATGATTCATTTTTTAAAATAAATATTACCGTTTAATAAAATATATGCATACTCCTATGTGAGTTTTATTTGCGTTTTATATACATATTAAATTTTTTTAATTAAGATTTGAATAAGGGTGTCGTTGGGTTAACAAGGAAAGTCTGGGTAAATGTCATATCAGAAGATTGACCTGGTTCAAACGAAAGCAGAGTCAATTCAGTACAACGGTACCCGTGCTGTCAGGTCAGTGCGCATTAGGAGAGTATGCAACAATACTTGGTCTATTCGATAACATAAGGATCTAAAAGTAATTAAATTACAATTTGTTATAATATTTCATCTTGTATTCGTTGAAATGTCTCTACAATGGCAGATATAATTCCAATTCTATCTTCCAAAAGCTGGTTTTATAAGTGTACAGAATTTCTAAAGTGAATGAATATTAAACAAGTAAATCATGTGGTTGGCAAATACAGTGGTTTGCGGAAGATCTGAGCTATAAATTTCAGTAATCAAAATTACTGTAAATGATGTATTACTTAGACCTAGACTAGACTTGACTTACACTTAGAAATGTATATAAATATAAAAAGTAGTTAAGGGTACGTCGTACCAGACTACATTCTATATAAGCATATAATAAGAGCGAAAATATTAAAAGCAGTAAAAGTAAATTTAGAATGAGTTGAAAAAAAATCTATTATATTTTATAATACATATATTGGAATATTATAATATTCTATAGAATTATTAGAATATTTCGTAAGACTACTGTTGATGAGTGCGTGGTAATACTCGAAACAGCGTTGTATGGTCAGTCAAATTTCTATAAATTAACTAAATTTCTGTTCATGTCTTTTCTTAGCTATTCGAATCCGTCTGTTTTAGTTTCTTTTCGTCATAAAGACGCGTCACTCTCGGCAAGAAAATATTAACAATAAAAAAATTTAATTATGTAAAGTTGCTGTTAATTAAGTAGTTTCTTTTTATAAAATGAATAAAGGTTAGGTTAACTGCTGGTAAACATTCACGGCAATAATCTGTAATTTGTAATCTGTTTGGTTAAGATAATTACAATGTTGGCTTCTACCACAATGTATTCTTAGGCCATATTAGACACAAACAAGTATTTTGGTTGAATTTTTAATATTATTTACGATTCTATATATGTTTATTATTTTATAATTTTTTATTTTGCTACAATAAAAAATAATAAAATGTTAATAAATTTTAATATTCAATTTTAAAATCAGTTGTCATTTGAATTTTTTGAAGAACGGTAGGTATTCAGACCGCAATATTGGCTCGCAATATTTTAATTATTTGAAATATGATTTAAAAATCAGAGATTTTTCATTAATAAAACAAGTTATATTAAAATAGAAAAAGTATGGAATGGAATGTATTGTTTTTTTTACCAATGCAAATCGCAAATCAATAATACTTGGGTTTCGTATGCTTTTGCTCTACTAAAGTTTAGTTCGTTCTAAACTGTGCCTCCAAAAGGTTCGACAAGAATAATAGTCGTTAAATACTAGTCGGTATTATTGTAAAATGTAAAGATAAATGTTAATTTTTAAATTTTTATTCGAAGTTAATAAATGTTTTGTTATGCGCATTATGAATATCCGTTAAAGGAAAATAAAATCCAAAATATCAGATACCAGTTGTTATAATCTACAAAACCCAGATCAATTGGTTTCACTTGAAAATTAAAAAATCATTTTTTAGAGGCATACAAATAAATAATAAGCGGTGTATAAAAAATAATAAATATTTATTAAAATACAATTACTTTTTGGATACAGATATAATCTCAAGCATTTTATCTGAAAACTTTGAGTTTTACTTCTAATAAATTCTTTCTCTTGTATAGTTCCTCTAGTCGATTTTTGGATAATTTGAGTACTGTAATATTGAAAATTTACAAAGTGTGTTTGCAATACTAATAGAAAATATGCCAACAACAGCCTTGGTATTTTTTGTTAACGGAAAAAAGGTAATTAAAAATAATTCATAAATAAAATTGAACAGTAAACTAGTTTCATATAAGGTTACGGAGAATAATCCAGATCCTGAATGTACACTTCTTACTTATCTACGTGATAAACTGTTTTTATGTGGTACGAAATTAGGTTGCGGAGAAGGAGGATGTGGTGCATGTACCGTTATGATATCACGCATTGATCGAAACACAAATGAGATTCGACATTTGGCAGTCAATGCCTGTCTTACGCCAGTATGCGCAATGCACGGTTATGCCGTAACTACTGTTGAAGGTATCGGTAGTACGAGAACACGTCTTCATCCTGTACAGGAACGAATAGCTAAAGCGCATGGCAGCCAATGTGGTTTCTGTACACCAGGTATTGTCATGTCAATGTACGCATTACTTCGCAGTTCACCACAGCCTACAATGAAGGATTTGGAAATTGCATTTCAAGGTAATCTTTGTCGTTGTACCGGTTATCGTCCAATTTTGGAAGGCTACAAAACATTTACTAAAGAATTTTCATGTGCAATGGGTGATAAATGCTGTAAAATGAATGGGAACGGAGATGGAAATGGAAATAGTTGTAATGGCAACAGTAGCAATAATGTTGATGATAAGCTTTTTGAAAAAAGTAAATTTCTACCTTTTGATCCCAGCCAGGAACCTATTTTTCCACCCGAATTGCAGCTTAACACTGAATTTGATTCAAATAGTATAGTTTTTAAAAGCCCTCGTGTGAGTTGGTATCGTCCAGTTGAGTTGGAAGAACTACTTCAAATCAAAGCACAAAATCCAAATGCGAAATTGGTAGTTGGCAATACTGAAGTGGGAGTCGAAGTGAAATTCAAACATTTACTTTACCCAGTACTGATTAATCCATCTAAAGTGAAGCAATTAAATGAAATAAAAGAACAGGAAGACAGCATTTATTTTGGTGCTTCTGTTAGCTTAATGGATATTCAAAACTATTTACAAGATCTTATCACTAAACTTCCGGAATATCAAACTCGATTTTTCAAATGTGCTGTGGAGATGTTGCACTATTTTGCTGGTAAGCAGATACGGAATGTTGCATCATTAGGTGGTAACATTATGACTGGAAGTCCGATATCTGACATGAATCCGATTTTAACAGCTGGTACTGTTAAAATGCTTGTAGCAGGTATGGTGGATGGTCAATTAAAAACCCGATATGTGCACATGGGATCTGGATTTTTTACTGGTTATCGTAAAAATATTATTGCACCACATGAAGTTTTGATTGGAATTTATTTTCCGAAAACTTTACCAAATCAATATGTAATCGCCTTTAAGCAGGCACGCCGAAGGGATGATGATATTGCTATTGTCAATTCCGCCATAAATGTCTTTTTTAAACCCAACACAAATATTGTGGATCAGATTTTTATGGCATTCGGTGGAATGGCTCCAACAACCATTTTAGCACCACGAACATCTGAAATGATGGTCAAACAAAATTGGGATCACGTGCTTGTAGAACGCGTCACGGAAAGTTTGTGTGCAGAGTTACCATTAGAACCTTCAGCTCCAGGAGGTATGATTGCTTACAGGCGATCTCTAGTAGTCAGTTTGTTTTACAAATCATATTTGGTCATAAGTCAAAAACTAGTAAGTGCCGGCATTATACCATATAACAGTATATCTGATGAGGAATGCAGTGGTGCAGAATCTTTCCACACACCTATATTAAAAAGTGCACAGTTATTTGAACGTGTCAGCTCCGAACAGTCTATATGTGATCCAATCGGTCGACCCAAAGTGCATGCTGCTGCAATGAAGCAAGCAACTGGTGAAGCCATGTATTGCGATGATATTCCACGTATGGAGAATGAGTTGTATTTGGCACTTGTACTTAGTACGAAAGCGCATGCAAAGATTCTTTCCATTGATGCAACAGAAGCATTGGCAATGGATGGAGTGCATGCATTTTACTCTAGTAACGATATTAGTGATAACGAAAATGTTGTAGGGCATGTTATTCGTGACGAAACTATATTTGCTATCGACAAGGTTTATACTGGGGGGCAAGTAATAGGTGCAATTGTTGCAGATAATCAAAAACTTGCTCGGGAAGCTGCTAAGCTTGTACAAATAGACTATGAAGATATATTACCCAGAATTATCACTATTGAACAAGCAATTGAGCATGAATCATATTTTCCTAATTATCCACAAATTTTGGAGAAAGGCGATGTTGATCAAGCTTTTAAGAATTGTGCGCATATTTATGAAGGCACCTGTCGTGTTGGAGCACAGGAACATTTTTACTTAGAGACACATGCTGCAATAGCAGTTACTAGAGATACTGATGAAATTGAGATATTTTCCTCAACACAACATCCTTCCGGAATACAAAAATTAATTTCTCAAGTTTTGTCAGTACCAGCACATAGAGTTGTGTGCCGTGTAAAGCGTTTAGGAGGTGGATTTGGTGGTAAGGAATCACGCTGTGTATCGGTAGCAGTACCCGTCGCATTAGCTTGCTATAGATTACGAAGACCCGTGCGCTGTATGCTTAATAGAGATGAGGATATGATGATTACAGGCACACGTCATCCGTTCTTATTCAAATATAAAATTGGTTTTACAAATGAGGGCCTTATTACAGCATGTTATATTGAATGCTATGCAAATGCTGGATGGAGCATGGATGTATCATTTGGAGTAAGATTTTTTAAAATAAAATATGTTGGAAACTTTATAAGGATATGCAATCTTATTTTAGGTGCTTGAACGTGCTATGGATCATTTTGAGAACTGTTATCGTATACCTAATATAAAAGTAGTCGGATGGTTATGTAAAACTAATACACCTTCAAATACAGCATTTCGTGGATTTGGAGCCCCTCAGGGGATGTTCGCTGGTGAACATATGATTCGTGATGTGGCACGAATTTTGGGAAAGGACTATGTAGATATAATGAAATTAAACTTCTATGAAACTGGTGATATCACGCACTATAACCAAAAATTGGACACGCTGCAAATTAATAGGTTTGTTCTACTATATATTATAATAGGTTTGTACATTAATTAGTAATAATTTAGTAACATTTTTACTAATATTTTTTGTTTTATAATAATTATTTATAATAATTAGCAAAAATGCTATTTTTACTAAACTATTACTAAGAAGTATTAATAAATATATACATATATATTTAAATACATACCGTATCCGTATTTACTTATTAAGTTACTTTTTGTAGATGTTTTGACGAATGTTTAGAGCAATCCAATTTTTATGAAAAACGAAAAAAGATACAAGAATTTAACAAAAGTAATCGCTGGAGAAAGCGTGGTATTAGTATTGTTCCCACAAAGTATGGAATATCATTTGGTATACCACATATAAATCAGGCTGGATGTTTAATAAATATATATGCAGATGGATCAGTCTTATTGGCACATGGTGGTGTAGAAATTGGACAAGGATTACATACAAAAATGATACAATGTACTGCAAAAGCTTTAGGTATACCGGCAGATTTTATTCACATATCCGAATTCGCAACAGATAAGGTTCCCAATGCAACACCTACCGCAGCTAGCGTAAGTTCTGATTTAAATGGTATGGCCATTATTGATGCTTGTGATAAATTAAATACAAGACTTAAAACTATTAAGGAAGCGCTACCCACAGCCACTTGGAAAGAATGGATAAATAAAGCATATTTTGATCGTATAAGTCTTTCAGCAACAGGGTTTTATAGTACGCCAGACATACACTATGATCCTGTGCGTCAACCAAATGCACGCAAATATAATTATTTCACAAACGGTGTGGGTGTAACTGTAGTAGAAATAGATTGTCTAACTGGGGATCATCAGGTTTGGAGCACTGATATTGTTATGGACCTTGGCTCCAGCATTAATCCCGCTATTGATATTGGACAAATAGAAGGGGCTTATATGCAGGGATATGGTTTATTTACTTTAGAAGAGCTAATATATTCACCACAAGGTATATTATTATCAAGAGGTCCAAGCACATATAAAATTGCAGGTTTTGGTAATATACCAGCTGAGTTTAATGTGAGTCTGCTTACTGGTGCACCGAATCCAAGAGCTGTGTACTCATCGAAGGTAGTAATTATAAGTATAGTATAATTATTTTGATCCTGTATAATATTTGTTCATAGGCTGTGGGTGAACCGCCGTTATTTATAGGTGCTGCAGCTTACTTTGCTATTAAGAATGCTATTTCTCATGCACGTACAGAACGAGGTCTGAGCACAGACTTCACACTTAACGCCCCCGCAACAGCAGCAAAAATTAGGATGGCTTGCGAAGACAATTTTACAAAATTGGTATGGATGTCAAAAATGCTTTTAGTTCATGTGCGATATATGCAATATATGTATATCTTTTCTTCTTTCAGATTGATGAACCCTTACCTGGTACATATACACCATGGAATGTTGAATTATAAAGATCTACATATGGATTAGGATTTATTTAGAAATAAGACAAGATTTTAATGCTGTTTTGTTATTATTTATGTCACTGTCATGTGAAAGTGGGAGTACTTGTTGAGTTTATATTATCGGTAAAAGTGTTAACATATATGAATAAAGATAAGGTGTTGGCTTGTTTAGTAAAATTTTGAAGACTACTTTCTTATTAGAATTGTAGATTAAATTAAAAGCTTAGATAGATTTTCTTATTTCATTAGTTAAAGGTGCTGACATATGTTATTTTTACTTTAACATTTAAAGAACTCTTACTTTAAATTATTTTTAACATCATTATAATTTCTAGTATTTGATTCTAGATTAATTTATTTCTAAATTAAGAGTAGTATTTAAATTTATAAATAAGCATGATTACTTACTTATACTAATTGAAATTCCAATTATTGCAGAAAGCATATAGACTATGCATACGGTAGGATCTCTTTAATTCGAATGCCAAGGTACTAGCAAAACTGTTCGATTTATAGAACTATTGACGATTTAGATAGATCAGGGAAAATGTTTATATAGTTTATTACATATCTATTTTCTTACATATGTAGGCATGCGTTTTATAATTACATTCTCCGAAACCCAACAAAATCCATTACTCACATTAAACAGAAATTTCGATGTTCAAAGATTCGCTTCAGAATGTGGAGGTAAAGGATGGTGAAAATCGATACTAATTATATTAAATAGGGTTTATGATTTGAATTGTAGAGGTAATGGATGCTTTTGCAAAATATCTATTGTCAAATTATGTATTTTCGAAATTGTTTTAATCATAAAGGAGAACACTTCGAGAAACATTTGTTATTAAACTCAAAATATAAATAGTGACCCTCGTAACGTAATACGATTATTACATTTTATGCATCACAAGAAAACGATATCTGTTGTGTTGGTGGGACGTTAAAAATCAATCAAGTTTTGGACAGCAGCTATTATTTAATTTTCAATTTAATTTCGAAAAATGGGTGGAAATAGAAGGACCCTTCTTATTGCATTGAGGGTAACAGTGAAATTCTTAATGAGATCTAATAATTGAGTAACATGGCAATTCTATTGACTGGCAATTTTTGATAGTTAGTTCTTCTAGTTGTGCTTCGATTAATATATGTATAATAAAGTTTAAATTGGTAAAGTACAAAGAGATATTTTTAATTCAATATACAGGCCACAATAATCTATATAATAAAGTAAAGGTGCTGACGGATACCAATTTCAACAAACCATACATACATATATATTTGCATACTCAGTTTTTTTGACTACTTTGGCGCTGATAAGATTATCGGCGCTCTACGAAATAAGTTCTTCTACCGTTATTATGTATCTACATAATCATAATGTTTTGGGAGGTCTAAGGCGTTAGTTGGGTGAATCGCGTGAAGACTATAATTTAAAGAGTAAAATAAAAATAAAGAGGCATGTATTGTACAAAAACATACGAAATAAGTCGTTATGGTGTTTATCAATTATAAATAACAATTAAAAACAATTTATGTTAGTGTGGAAATATTTTAATACAAAAATAGAAAATAAAATAAAAAAAAATTAAAGAATATTGGTCAAAAAAAAAAATTTGAAATGGATCAAAAGATTGAATCGAGTGAATTAAACACTGGGAAGAATGTGAGAACAAAAACATCATCGGTGCTAATATTTTTTGTAAATGGAAAAAAGGTAAATTATTAACGATATTTAATTTTGTTTAATGATTTTCGAAATGATCAAATCCAGACGTATTATTCAGCTAACTTTTAGTAATACACTGGTTATTTATTTATCCATTGCACATTTTGCAAAAGAAATTCAAACACATATTTTCAACTGTCAACATTTTTTCTCGGCTGAAGCTTAAACTGCTTGGTTTACTACAGGACCATCATTCTAACAGGGGAGACTATACAGCGCCGGAAAACTACAACTATCATCACAGCTAAACAGCCAATCAGCATACTGTGCGAGATTCGTAGGAAAGTGTATTCCTTTGATCGACGTAATAGACTTAAATTCTTTGACTGGAGACTTAGTTTCATCCCAACTATCAACAGAGACAGCAGCACTCACTTCACTTCACGCTGCAACCATCAACCTTCAAAAATGCCGATTTCTGCCTATCCACAGTTGCAGACGTGTCCTTAGCACCTTTCTATAATATAACAAAAAAATTTCTTAATGCGTCAAACCAGCCGTTTCACTGCTTTAACGCAGCTCGAAGCCATTCACGCGCAGATATGTATGACTATGACTGTACTTAATGAAATCACTGGACACATATACTAGTTGCTGTCCATGCTTGATATTATTGCGACATTTCACGTCCGCAAGAGCCATACGTAATGCCGCTGCAAATTCCGTCTTACCCTGTTTCTGCTTAAATTTCACCATAAACTGAGCCAGAATAAACAAAGCATCACTACATACTATTAATCCCACTAACAAAAATGAAATAGTATGTGTTCAATTATTAAAAATACAACGCTTCAAAGCCGTTGTATGCCAGTACGTAATCCCCAACAAACTAAATGTGGCGACTAAATTTATCTTTGACGGCTTTAAACCTTCTTCTTACCGTTAAACGCTCTCGGAATGACTTAAATGTCGACTCAGGTGATAATAAGAAAACTATTGGAACTTACAGAACTTTTAATTAAAATCAAGAAAACTCTATGCTGCATTCTACGCGGCTCAACAAAACTGAAGATGTGCTTAATTTTTTTAAATTCCCTTTACCGAAGAGGCTTTCGGTAAGCGAGCGCCTTATCATTTAACCCCGTAAGATATCAGCATCGATCAACACCACGTGCAATCTGTGATTGCGTACGGCTGCCACTCCTTACAGACCAACTGCTCTTTAATGTGTCTAAATCACCCAAAGTAAGCAGTTCAGATACAGTTCAAGGTGCTCTTACCTGTTTCTCATCATAGCTACCTCACTCAAACCAATCCTTGAGAACATTGATCTGCCAGCTTGGCTAACTCCTAAAGGTATACATCAGAAGATTTCCAAATAGAATGTACCTCTGGCGAAAGCCACTTAAGATACTTAAAACAAATATACTTCAATAATCCGTCACCTTAGCAGCTCACTTAACAGTTGTGATATTTCCAAGCTCAACTTCACCATATTGCTCAAC